AGACAGCTTCAACGGTGAACCAAGCTATATATCTAGCAAAAGTACTTATGGCTGAACTTTGGCTTCCGTCATATGCAAGGTTGGCATGGTGCTGACGCCGCTCCGAATCCTTCAAAGAAAGGACTTTGGAGTGACTGGTGACGAGGCCGGCCAAGCAATGTTTTGCTGTGTACCTACCTTACTTTTACTGGGCGGATGTACCTTGCCCTACGAATGGATCCCGTACAGCAACCACCCCCGACTGCGTTGGTCTTAGGGGGCGGGCTGGAGCTAACGCGGGTAAGCTGTGCTGCGTGGCTTGCTCCTCACCTACAACAATTACGCCGTGGGCCGGGAGAGCTTTGCCCTTTTGCTTCCCAACCGCATCTCGTGTGTCTCACCCCGTCTTTCTCATCCCGATCTCTGGACCACACGCGCAAATACCTACGTCTGCATTTCCAACGTGGCCGTCGGTGTCACCATCTGCATGCTTTCATCTCGTGCATACCGCAGCCTTGAGCAACAAGAAAAACACTCCGGGATTCAGCTGGAGAGCAAGCCACGAGCTAAGGCAGCCAGGGCTTCATCGTCGTGCCTCTGGGCTTGTCACTACCTTGCCATTCAGAGTCATCGGCCCTATTAGCACATCAACTTTTACGAACTCTCCGTCACCTACATATAACCCTCCCGAAAGCCGCACTCCCAGCACTCTGGGAAGTTCTGAGTAATCAGAACAATTCAACCATCGGTATTGTCAGGCAACCACGACAACGCCTCTCTAGTCCCCTATCACATTTGTCCATATCAAATCATGCCTCAGAGTAGTAGCCCGTCCAAGTCGGCGGCCGGTGTCGTGAAGCATCGCGCGTGTGATGAGTGTCGTAAGTGAGGGTCTCAAGCCCAAACCGAATAGATGCTAACAACCCATACAAGGTTCACGAAAGCTGGCTTGCACCAAGGAACCTGAAGGTTGCTCGAGATGTCGGCGGGAGGGCCTTAGGTGTGTCTACTCGGCCCAGAAGCAGATGGGCCGGCCAAGGAAGCGTAGACACGCCGAGGAGGCTGAAGGACAATCCTCCCCCGACAAGCCCGAGAACCAAGACCAGCAGACGCAGATGCCACTCATGACGCAACCGACATTAGACACCGACTTCTCGGCCTTCTTCACCCAAGACTACTCTAGCATGAACTACCTTGACCTCCTCTCCCCCTTGGAAGGCTTGCCGCCTTCGACGCTGCCGCCCGAGCTGTCGAGCTTGACCATGGCATACACCGAGCCGCGGTTCCCTAATGGAGACTTCCAGTTTGGGGTTGCGGGTGTTGACCTGTTAGGTGGCATCAACTTTGACGAAAGTGACTCTGCTGACGAGGATTTACCTCAAGATATCAATAAAAGCCTTACAGAACTGCTCTCGGCGCAAGTGCCCGAGACGGTTCCTAGTCTCTCCCCTCCTACGGCATCAGAGACATCATCTCACACGGCTGCCGCAAGCACGCCGGAATCATCCACATCTGGCAACACCAAAAATGAGGATGGAACTGGCAAAGAGGTGGACGGGGCACCGAAAGCATACAACAACACCACTTGCTCCTGTCTATCCCAAATCTTCCTCTCCCTGGACGCCTTATCGAGACTGCCAAACGATGTCAAGATTGCAATGGGCATAGCTAGGTCCGCCGCTCGTGTGGCTCACGACGTCATCCGCTGCCCTTCCTGCAGTCTTACAGATATAACAAAGCCGCCTCCAATGCAGGCATTCCAAAACATGATGATGTTGGGCGCCATCCTCCCGTCCACAGCCAACGCCTACGCCAAGATTCTCGAGCTCATCGACAACGAAGCCTCCCAGGCCAAGAAAGAGAAGAGGAATATCACGTTCCGTTTCGCCGAGTACGGCGGGCTGTGGGGCGAGCTTAGTAGACGGGATAACGACTGCGGCGCGATAGAGACGTTTGACAACCGAGAGATGGACCCCGACAGCTGGAGGCTATCCGTCAGAGGCTTGCTGAAAGTCGACATCTACGGACACGATTTTCAGAGATCAGATGGGGCGGGATCTACGGTACCCTACCATCACCTTGGTCTGAAGGACGTCATCAAGCAGATGGAGGATCGGTCGAATAACCGGCATGACAAGCTCGATGAGATGGTCGCGGCCGGGCTACCCCATCCGATGCTGCATACGGATCAGCACCTGATGGTTCCGCAGGGCAAGGATGATAGCAAGGAGAATCGGCACTGCCTGAAGATTATTGAGATTGCGCGTATTGCTTTGGACAAGCTGGTGATAGCTTAAAGGTCGAGAATGGGGTGGTTTTTTTTTTTCGATTGTTTTGTTTTTAGATTGGTTTTATGTTCACTGGGCTCACTACAGGATGAAAGGTATTATGATGGCAACATGTTGGCTACTGCGAGGTATTTTGGCGCATAGGATGCAAAAAGCGTGTTTGGAACGGGGACTTGGCAATATTAGACTCTCGCCTATCGTAATTATACCATGAAAAGAAGGACAATCTTTTGACATTCAGCGGCCAGAACATGGTCGAAAAAGTCGAAGATTGAAACATTCCACTCCATGATAACCTCACACTAGTGCCCATACGTCCCCATTCCAACCCCGAGCTGAAGAATGAGTGCGCAGTACTCGACTTGGAAGATGCATTGTCTGAGTGGCTTTGATGCGCAATGCCGTGGTACATCGGGAAAGCTAACAAGCAGATGAGATAATCTCGCGCCCCCCCCTAAAGTCAACGTTCCATGACAGCTTCCATGCAGATGAGATGTGAGACGGGGGCTATGTTTGCCCTGGGCAACCCCGGGCAACCAGTTTCTCGGGACGAGTTTGGATGCCTGGGCAAAGCCAAATTTGTGGGAAGAGAATCGCCTGGCCCGTCAGCGGCGGATTTATGATTTGGGAGCACGAGACATTGCGAGGTTGTGGCTGGAGCATAGGTATAGTACAGCAGAGGAGTGGCTTTTTTTTGGGACAATTCTTTTTCTTTGATGGATGGTTAGCTGGTGACAACAAAGGAACGATGGTTCTATTGATAGACGGCGATGAGTCGTGCAAGAGTCCGAAATGGAGTGAGACCGAACAATAGCGGGATCCAACTAAGTTACACATCAAAGGCTTCGGTATCGCATTTTCGAACGGGTTTGGGGTTTGGGATTTGTGGTTTGTTTCTTGACCTCGTATCGGATCCTCCTATCCTTTTTCTCTCTCTTTTCTTCTGCCCTATCATCCTTTTGGGCTTCGTTGCACGAAATGGTCTACGGAGTGAGTACCTGACTTCCAAGAGGACCGGAGATGGTGCCGTCCTTCGATCCAATGGCTCTGGCGGGTAGACTCGGTGGTCTGCGGAGACAGGGGAAATGGGGGGAGCATGGGGCCAAGCGCCTGTGAACCTCGTAAATCGGGGTTCTCGGCACCAGGCCGGCCTGCATTTAGGTTGATAGTGCAGGAGAGCGTCGAGAGTTTGGCAGACTTGTGTCCCATTCTGTCCTGTTGTGGCTTGCCCAGGTCAACGGCTTTTTCAGGCAGGGCAGATGGTTTTTGGGACGGATATTGGCCGCTGCAGCCACATTGATGGTTTAAGGTCTCTTGGCCTTTGCATGATACGATCCGTAGAAACAAGTAGGTGGTGATGGTGGTACCTAGTTTAAGGAGGTAGGTAGGTAGGTCGGGTGGTGGATCTTAAACGGCGGTGATTTCTCCGGTCCGTCGTCCGCTCGTTGGCCGCGGCCTCCTGAGCTTACCTCACCTTACATTAGGTAGGTAGATAGGTACCTTACGCCAAAGGACAAATCTCGTGATGTCTTTCGCCGGCGGTGCCATCCAGACGGCGGTGTCTCTCCGTCCTTTTTAAAATCTCCTAATCTCGCCTCGATCCACCCGAGCCCCCAAGCTCCAAACTGTAAAACCCGTGGAAGCCAACAACATTACACACAAGCCTTGGCTGGTGGCCCCCCCTCGTGCCTGTCCTGACTCCGTCTATCCGCCCCCCTAGCCCGTAGCCTGTAGCCTGTAGCCTGTATCCGTAGGTGCTCCGTAATACAGAGGAAGTATTGCTCCAGGCGAGTTTACGGCAAGTCTGGGCCGTGGGAAAGTGACTAATGGAGGATCCCCCAAGGCGGCAAAGCCAGGTGTGTTAAGGTATGTGGGGACGCTAAGCCCAATCAGAAGTAAGCTTGTGTCAGGACCCGGCCATTGCCTTTCTCCCATTTCATTGTACGTACAGTACCTAATTACCTACCTTAGGTACTCTTTGTATGTATCCGTGGTATCGTACCTTTACTCATCAATAGCTACCACCAATAGGTCTGCTCATCATCATCACTCCTGAGGTGCTCGCTCGAACAGACACAAACGCCAGACCGCTCACTGACCGTGGCTCATACCTACTTCGGTATCAGGGCGCCACGGTGCCAAGATATCAACCCTTCACCTACCGCAGTTGCCTAAGCTGAAGGCTGAAGCTCCCCCAAGTCTGTGCTGCATGTCACTTTCTTACTCCGCCTCGTGACAGCCCGCCCTTCTGGCCCATCAATCCCCGACGACGATCACCTTTTTTGCCTGTCCGCTCCTCGCTACACCTTGGCCCGCTCCTCTTCTTTCTATCTCCGTGTTTCTCTTTATTTTTTGCTTTCTTCCCTCTTCTCTTAAACATCCCTCCTCGCCCAGACTTTTCGGAGGTTTATTACTTGTGTTGCTTCTTCCTTTGGCCGCCGGTTTCCAATTTTCGAATTCCTTCCTTTTTCCTACGGTACCCCAAATCCACAACGCGGTTGCATGCGCTTGTCTCGCCTTCGCTCCTAATCCGTCAGCCAAAAACCCGTTGTTCAACCTAAAGCGATCGACCCTCCTCCCACCCCAAAAGAACGTCATCCACATACCGACGGCCGCTTTATCGCCCCCCCTTCCGACCAAACATCACCCCGTCATTCGCACGAGACCGCCCTTTTTCTCTCTGTCCCTCCCTCTGCTAGTCCCATTTCAACACACCCCGACCCGGCCAGGCCAATGGCCCCTCCGCCACCCTACCTGATAGCGACTGCCGCCCAAGATGTTCCTACTTCATTCGCCGCCTTCGTAGCAGCTACAGCAACAGCAGCAGTCGACGCAGCAGCAAACACAATGATCCCTATCGCGACCCCGACAGAAGCCCTCGACGGCGCCGTCGCGACTTTCACGAGTGCTGTCGCCGCGGCCACGGCTACCCACGCTGCAACACAGGGCGAAGAAGGTGGTAATGGCGAGTGCAGCCTGCTCGGTTCCTTTGCCCTCATTGTCCAGGCGGCCCTGGGCGGCCTTGCCTTGCTGTCGTTGGTTTTCAAGCGCTGGAGAGAGCGGCCACAACGTCCAGTCAAGATCTGGTTCTTCGATGTTTCGAAGCAGGTGTTTGGCTCGGTTCTCGTCCACATCGCCAACATCTTCATGTCAATGTTGACGTCAGGCCGCTTTTCTGTGACACTGGACCCCGCAACCACGGCCAACGCGCAGAGGTTGATGAGACGCGGCGAGGACTACACACCAAACCCGTGCTCCTTTTACCTGCTCAATCTCGCTATTGATGTAAGCAACCCACTCGCTTCCTTTCACTCGCTTCCTCTCTCTCTCCGGCATCGTACTAACATGCGTCTTGCAGACCACCATCGGTATCCCCATCCTCATCGTACTTCTCCGCGTTCTGACAGGCCTCGTTGCCTACACACCCCTGGGCAAGCCTGAGGAGTCGATCCGGTCCGGCAACTATGGCACACCTCCCAACGCCTGGTGGTGGTTGAAGCAGTCCTTCATTTACTTCTGTGGCCTGTTTGGCATGAAGTTTTGCGTCCTCATCATCTTCCTCCTCCTGCCCTGGATCTCGCGCGTCGGCGACTGGGCCTTGCGGTGGACCGAGGGCAACGAGCAGCTGCAAATCTTCTTCGTCATGATGTTCTTCCCGCTCGTTATGAACGCCATGCAGTACTACATCATCGACTCTTTCATCAAGCAACCGCAGCACGAACACGAGCGACTTCCAGAGGATGACCCCGATTGGAGCTCGAGACACGCAGGTGTCAGCCCGTACGACGACGCCGACTCGGCAAGCGAGGAGGGTGCGAATTCGGACGATGGAGCGAGCTTGAAGCTGAAGAAGGCGAAACATGCGGATGATGCCGAATACGACCCCGACACGGACGGCGACGCGCCAACGGTCATTGGTAGCAGCTCTAGCCGGACAAATCACCAGAGAAGGGATAAGGATATCTCGGCGGAGCTGTTCCCAAAGGAGTGACGTGAGCTTTTGTTTTTGTTTGGTTTAAGCTAGGAGTTGGAGCTAGATACATGTATAATCGGACCAGGTCTAGATGGCCTCCAGAGGGCTGTAACAATACGGGTGTTTGGCATAAGCGCATCATCCCTTGTCAGTCCTCATGAATCATATTCAGATCTTTGACTTCCTGAAGACCGCCATATTCCTTGATGAAAACTCTCATGATATCATGTGTTCACCAACTTCGACTATTGACTACATTTTCCGGCTTCATCATTGAGCATATCCCCGGAGAACGCACTATTGTAACCGTACCTGCAAAACCTCTACGGGGCAGGACAGCTGCTCACTGGAAATGCCTCAAGTTGGTTGACTCCGCGGGGATCGGGCCGGAGCCGGGTGCTGATCCGCGGTTCCGTCTGCAAGGCAGATCCACTTGCCGGGCGGCACGCTGAGGGGGAGGCTTCCGTCTAACATACCCGCCCACACCGAGATCGACTGATACGTAGAATGGGTTGTCGACAGTCCACGTACTTGATTTTTGTGTATGTAAATAACACGAAGTTGTCATCGCTGCCGATGATGGGGTACTGTGTCCTTGAAAACCTCGTGTGTACCTCCTCGTGGCAGTGGGCTGACAAGTATTATGTAATTAGTTTGTAGACAATGACCAGGCAGAAGTCGAAGTAAACCATTTAGATTCTCCTTTATGAGTGGGTTAGCATGTGCTAACTACCTCTGAGAGTATCGCCTCGTCTGGCACAAGCGTTTCCGGTTCGATGCTAGACTACTGCTTCGAGAATGGTCGAACTTATCATCGGTATAAAGATGGGGTTGAGTTCACAATCTGACCTGGAATTCTAATTCTTTATTTGTGCGGGAATCTAATAGAAATGCCAGAGTACAATATCCCCAACGACGAGAGGGAAATGGATAGACTAGGTGAGAGTTGTCACATTACTGTTGTCCTAGGATTTAGAATCTAATCGCGTTCCGATAGATCTACAGCACCACATCTGCCTCATGACGCTGGTAGGCAGACTCGGTCTTGCGCCCCCTTGCCAAGCAGGCGCTGAGGTTGGAAGAGTCCTTCATCTCGGTAAGGGAACCGGTATCTGGGCTATCGAATTTGGCGATGACCATCCGGAGGCCGAAGTAAGTTCCGCCTATCGATGTACAGTGTTTCTTTGGACGTATACTGACATTTGGTCCGCCTCGGGTTCTTGGTGTTGATCTGTCCTCGACACGTATTAGACCTTCCGACTAGTAACCTGTGTGCTGTCATCTTGTTCACAGAAACTAAAGAAGAGGTTGAGGTTCATGTTGGTTGTGCCAGTCGCATTCAGGGAAAGGGATGGACAGTCAGTCACATATCGAGTCAGTCACCGTGGAAGCAAGTGTGAGGACCATGCAGAACAAGGACATCGCTTTTGATACCCCTGCCTTGAGGACTTCACTTTCCATTCGGCGGCAGCTCTTTCGGGTCCACCCAGAATGCTGCCAAGGGTCAACTTCGCCGGTGGCATGCGTTGTGTGCGGATTTCTCTCGTTGGTTTGATTCGAGTCTGATTGAGGGGTTGTTAGCGATGGCATGTTGCTTTTCCACAAAATTGACCAGATTCCTCTCTTCCTCGGTTCCCATGCCTCTGCTCAAATTGTCGACTCTTTCGCACCGTACATAAACTACAGCACGTCATTCTCGCCCAACCTACACTTGTAATCATGGCTGAAGTCGATCACGAGATCAAAATTATTGCGGATGAACAGGTATGTTTGTGGCCATGTGACAGGTTCCATTCTCTCGAGCTTATAGCAGTCGTAGGCTCTGGAAGGCAATCGAGCAGATATTGAAAGCATTGCTTCCTCGAGCACCAGCCTCAGTGGCTCAATCTTGGACTATCGATTCGAAAATGGGCGAACGTATCATCGCTACAAAGACGGAAGTGAGCAACACGCTCCATGTCTCTTGTAAAGCCGTGCTGACTATCGGTAATGAGAATATGTGATTCCCAATGATGAGCAAGAGAATGATAGAATGGGTATGTCACCTCTACAGAGTCCTTGAGATATCTCACGCATGTGGCTTACTTGTCTGACACTGCTAGATATGCAACATCACATATGCCTCATGACCCTCGGTGGTCGGCTCGGACTAGCTCCTCCATGCCAGCCTGATGTCAAGGTTGACAGAGTATTGGATGTTGGTACGGGCACGGGAATCTGGGCTATTCAGTTTGGCGACGATCATCCCGAAGCCGAGGCAAGCTCAAAAGTGATGAAATTTGAATGCGTGTTGACTGTGAACAGGTTCTCGGCGTTGATTTATCTGCTACGCAGCCAGACATGTAGGTTTCTGAATTCGTGAAGCTATCGGGAGAGAGGACTAAGAGGCCGGGTCTCCCAGCGTAGCTACGAATGTCAAGTTCGAAATCGACGACATTGACGAGGAGTGGACCTACACCACCCAGTTCGACTACATTCACAGTCGCTTCATGTCGTCAAGCATCGCAGACTGGAAGGCTTACCTCACTAAATGTTTCAAGTAAGCGCGACTTTTACTCCCGGCCTTTGCTCAATAGCTGTCTACTAATGAGTGTAAGTCACATCCAACCTGGTGGTTATCTAGAGTTGCTGGAGCCAGAGATGGAGTTCCAGTCCGATGACGGCACATTTCCTGCCGACTGCCCCTTGGCCAAGTACGGCAACCTCCTCAAGGAGGCCGCGGCCATCTTTGGGCGAGAGTACGTCTCGGTGTCTTCCTTGAAAACACTGATGGTCGATGTGGGCTTCAAGGACGTGACGCTGAGCCGGTACAAGTGGCCCATCACACGTGGCCCAAAGATCCTTCGTTCAAGGAACTGGGCACTTGGGGCTTTGAGAACAGCAATGCTGGTTTAGAAGCTATTTCCATTGCAAATCTGACGCGCGCCCATAAGTGGACTAGGAGGGAGGTGAATGTATTTTTAGCTGAAGTCCGGAAGGACCTGGCTGACAAGAATTACCACACCTACGTTCCCATGTAAGTGCATGCATCATACTTGGACATTGAGCAACCCCATTCGCATATTGACTCGTCGGACTCAGGTACTTCGTCGTCGGACGTAAGCCAGGATAGAGACAGAGGAACTGATCCAAATCTTGAGAATGGTAGCACGCAAAATCATTGTCAAGGGACGGGTGGAACTGCTTTGAGACTTAGTGAGTAGTCGTGCTGGCGACACCGTGGTTCGCAGCTCCTGACTCTGTACGCTTTTTCGGTTGCCACTTTCCAGCAAGAATATCTTCAGTCATTCTCATCTTGATCAATTGCCCTCAGTAGATCTCAAACCATCTCGCGCTTCTCATCGATAACACAGTCAAAGACACCTGTTGCCGTAGCCCGCCGTTGAAGCCCTGGCCGACTCGGACATTCGCCTCGGCTCCGGTACCCTTTGCCAAAGGTCTCGTGTTACATCCAATAACTTCCAACGGTTCGCTTGTCTCACGACCAGGGGTGCGCGCGATAACTACCCCGAGTCCCACAATTTTCTTCTTCAAAGAGGCAACTTGACCGTCGGGCTGCGTTATGCAGTGTGCATTTGCTCTGTTGGTCCTCTCCGGAGACAGGGGTTGGCCAAGAAGAGGGGGCGCGCAATCGAATGTTTTGGTCACAACCGAAAGCAGATCAGCCTCCCATTCTCCCCGCCCTTCAAATGGTCTTCGCCTCGCAGAAGATCTTGAGGTGTTTCTCGTTGTCTCCCAGAAACCATTTGCAGCGAAAAATTTCCGTTGAAGATATCTCACAATGTGCCAAGACACCCCTGCAAATGTGGACCGCGAAGACCAGCTGGTCGCCGATGAGCCTGTATGCATTGAATAGTCACATCACAACCACATAGCTGTACAATGAGTTCTGATTACAGGTGTAGGTCGAAACTGACAGCGAGGCGGACCTCGAGGTGAGTGCGACTTTAGTCATCTTCATCTTCATTCTCTGTGAGAAGCCCCAATTAATATTATGAACCTGGCACAGAGTCTGCTGTCCGAGACAACGAGTATAAAATCTTCCATGCTTCAGTATCGTCAGGAAAATGGCAGAACCTACCACAAGTATAAAGATGGACGTAAGCAAGCGGCCTCCCATGGTCGGTAATAACCTGTATCTGACAGGCCATGCCAGAATACTTTGTTCCCAATGACGAGACGGAAATCGACAGACTTGGTGAGACCCAATTTAGGCCTTGAGCTGATCCGCCGCTGACCTTTCGCTACCAGATATGCAGCATGAGATCTTCTACCTAACGTGGGACGGTAAACTCGGCGTCACTCCGCCGTGTGAGCCCGACGCCAAAGTTGGTCGTGTTCTTGACCTCGGTACCGGTTCTGGACTTTGGGCCATCGAGTTTGGCGATTTGCACCCTGAAGCCGAGGTGAGCAATTATTGAAAAGCATGCAATCCGGGATTCGCATTGCTAGTTGAGAACGGCCTCTCATTAACCGCCTATGAAGGTACTCGGTATGGACCTCTCGCCCACCCAGCCCTCGGAGTAAGTCTGCTTTCTTCTAAGTATCAAAGCGTTCGAAGCTGTCACTCAGGACAGGAGTACTGACTGCATTGCTACCCACAGGGTTCCTCCAAATGTCAAGTTTGAGATTGATGATTTCGACGAGGACTGGCTCTACTCGCAGCCATTCGACTACATCCACAGCAGAATTATCAATGGAGGAGTCGGTGATTGGAAGAAGTTGATCAAGAAAGCATACGAGTAAGTTACCTTGAAGATACGATGAGTGAATCACATTTTTGACAAAAGTACTGTAAACAGTAACCTCCAGCCCGGTGGTTGGTTCGAGATCCAGGAGTCAGAGTTCTCCCCGGCCGCCGACGATGGGACGTTGCCGCCGGAGAAGGCATTGTCCAGATTCGCCGTGCTAGTTCGCGACGCCGTAAAGGCCTTTGGCCGGCCCTTTGTCGAGGTTCCTACCCTGAAGGACATCCTGACAGAAGTCGGGTTCGAGGACGTGGCCCTCACCCGCTACAAGTGGCCGACAAATCCCTGGCCCAAGGACCCTAAGCATAAGAGAATCGGCGAATGGAACTTCCACAACTTTGCTGGTGCGGTCGAGACCATGGCACTGGCGCCGCTGACCCGCGTGCATGGTTGGACCAAGGAGGAGGTCTTAGTGTTCTCTGCCGAGGTGCGGAAGGATCTTAGGGATCCCAAGGTTCATGCCTACTTCCCCATGTAAGTCCCAGAGTGATTTTTGCCTATCTGCACTCTGGATCTAACAACATTGATAGTTACACGGTTGTGGGCAGGAAGCCGTTGAAAGCGGCCACTCCGGCAGCAGCCACCGAGACCGCTCCGGCTGAAACCTCAGCTTGAAGTGAGCTCAACTGAAGCTATTCCGAAGCCTTCTTTGGCTACTAGCGACTCAAGGCAGGTTTTTAAGCTGGGCCGGATCTGTTCGAGAAGATGGCCCACTGGGGTATCGGATATTTCGATGTGTCTTGAATACATGGGCGGCATTGGTTCTGAGCGTAGCGAGTTGTTAATCAAACCGGGTAGATGGCCCATTCATACTACGTGTTACAGCCTCGTATAATTTGGTCATGTCAACTTAGAGATGTGACTTTGCCTCGGAAGCACCAGTTAGAAAACAACATCAAGGCATTTCTCTGAATAATCAATGGATGCTGTACGTTGTGCCATCAGTGTGAACACTCCAGTTGTTTGGAGCAGCTAGAAGGGCAGAGACACTAGCTTGGCGGATGGTTTGCCCGCGACCCGCGGCGGGGGGAAGTCTGTCCCATTCCCCTGCTGCATCTCCAATTTTCTTGGTCTGTAAATAGGCAACGTCGCCGCTCGCCTGCGTCATGCGCGCTGCACGTAGACAATGTGGATGGCGACCGATTGGCAAGCCGCGTTTGGCAGCCCATAGGTTGGTTTGACAATGAGGGGTCAGTTCATCTGGCCATGTTCAAAAACTTCGCCCCATCATCACCTCGCGAGGTTCCGAAACTGGTCTGCACTTCGCGAGCCTTTAGGCACAGGAAACCCGAGCATTCGCTTATACCAAAAGATACTCGTAAGGACAGCCTTAAAACACTGCCATCATGGCCGCCGCACAGGACGACCCTGAGGTTCACCTGGTCGCTGAGGACGAAGTACGAATCTGTGCAAACATCGTGCGAGTTGGTGACCAAATACTGATGAGCATCGAACCAGATTTCCGACAGCGAACAGGATCTTGAGAGCATTCGCTCAGAAACCACTAGCGTAAAGGACTCTATCCTTGAGTACAGAATCGAGAATGGAAGATCCTACCATAAATACAAGGATGGGAGTCAGTTTATCCTCCCTGCTGTAGATTCATGTTACCAATGATCTACTAACATAAATCAGAATATGCGTGGCCCAATGACGACAGGGAGAGTGACAGGATGGGTAAGTCTTCAATCCTGGGATATTCTTGTATAATTGCTATTCGTCTAACTTGAACATATCAGATATGCAACACGAGATTTGCCTCCTCACATTTCATGAGAGATTGGGATTCGCTCCTCCTTGTGACGAAGGTGCAAAAGTCGGTCGCGTTCTTGACCTTGGCACCGGAACTGGCCTGTGGGCCATTGACTACGGTGACCAACACCCAGAGACGGAGGTTGGTGCCGATTTCTACCAGAGTTTTGTTAAGGAGAGGACAAGGTATCTGACATTGAGACATAGGTGCTAGGCGTCGATTTGTCTCCTATTCAGCCACGAGAGTGTGTAAACCCTCCCAAGTGAAGCCCGCAAAGCTGCTAACGATGCGTCTAAGCGTACCTCCTAATGTCAAATTTGAAGTCGACGATGTCGAGGAGGAATGGCTATATTCTCGGCCCTTTGACTACGTCCACCTTCGATTCATGAACGGGTCTATCTCAGATTGGAAGAAGATCATTCAAAAAGCCTACGAGTAAGTATGAATCTCCAACAGTCTTCACATTGCTCATTGTCTTGACGATTTCTCGTTGCGAGGCCTCACGATCAGAGCTGACAAACTTGCTTGTCTGATAGTCATCTCGTCCCCGGTGGCTATTTTGAGATTCAGGAAGGCGATTTTGTCATCAAAGCTGACGATGATACTCTACCCCCTGAGAAGCCTCTGGCCCAATTCACTTCCCTCATCCGAGAAGCTGCAGAGAAGTTTGGGCGCAGATTCGCTCCTATCCCCGAGATGAGGGAGGCAATGGTCGATGTTGGGTTCGAGAACGTCGTCCAACAGGATTTCAAGTGGCCCTCCAACCCCTGGCCAAAAGACGACCACTACAAGAGAATCGGCGAATGGAACTTCCACAACTTCGTGGATGCCGCTGAAGCTATGGCTCTTGCACCTTTGACCCGAGTTCACAATTGGACGAAGGAGGAGGTTCAAGTCTTTCTTGTGGGTGTTCGTAAGGACATGAGGGACAAGACAATCCACTCATACATGCCTATGTAAGTTTCTCTTGATCTTGGATCACTCTCATGAAGAATGTTTTCTAAGACTGATAACTCTGTCTCTTTAGCTACACTCTTGTGGGCAGGAAGCCGTTGAAAGAAGCCACTCCAGCCCCGCCTGAAGATCAGAATGCAGCAGCAACTCCGTCTTCAACTCAGTGAACCTATCTTCATGTATCTCTAAGATCTCGCTGGAAAATATCAAGCTTGGCTACAGCTGATTCGGGGGATGGGCAGGTTGGTGAGAATCCCAATCCAATCTGAGGGGATTTATTGGGCAACATCAACATCCATCATCCGAAGGAAATCGATGACCTGGCTGTGTAATTCCTTGACCGAGACTGGAAATTCGACCGAGGCATCAAGAATTCGAAGACATGGGTGAGGGTTTGGCGCACCGCGGACACGGGACGGCTTCCGATAGTGGGCAGTCCAGATTTTGCGGTTGCAGGGGTTAAATGACTGAAGTGGCAAGTGGTTAGATCGCGGGATGCTGTTGGAAGTTGTCTCTACATGCCCATGTCGCATTCTTTATCTCTTCATTCGACCATAGTCTCTTCTGCCCCGCAATTGTCTGCAATGGGGAAACTGCACCGTCGAGATGCATATGCATGTTTGCTCGTTGGTTCCTTCGCCGACCCCCGGCCCAGAAGAGGGGTGGCGGGCCGAGATCGACTGTCTTTGTCACAAAAACAATGAATGACCCCTCAACAGTTTTCTTCATCACCCTGTCCTAGGATTCTTTACATTCGGAGTAGTGCTCTGATATCGTCAGTATTGGAAAGGCAAACAGCAAGATCGGCACGAGACTTGCCAAAGCTCTAATCCCCCAAGATGGCCGAACCGAGCACCACCATAACACCCCAAATCGTCGCAGACGATCAGGTAAGGCCACCATGCCCTCCCGAACTGTGATTCTGTTCTAAATTCGTTTAGCATGAAGATGCTCGGTCAGATATTGGAAGCGTATGTGCAAGCTACACTCCGACTCTTGAACGTATCATGAGTCTTACTTACATGCTTGACACAGAGCATTGCTTCTTCAAGCACCAGTCTCCGAGCCTCAATCCTGGACTACCGCGTCGAGAACGGCAGAACATACCACCGGTACAAAGATGGCAGTGCGTTTAATCTGGCCTGTTATTGAAGAGCTTTTCTAACTTTGACTGAGAATACACGATTCCCAACGATGAAAGGGAAATGGAAAGGCTAGGTAGAATCCACTAGCTCATGTACTATACAGACCCTCATTAACATTCACCATAGATATGCAGGATGAGCTTTGGGCCATCTCAATGGACTTCGCATCAGGAATGGCCCCGCCTGGGCAGTTGGATGCTGAAGCTGGACGAGTCCTCGACGTCGGTACCGGCAGTGGCATCTGGGCAATCAACTATGCAGATGATCACCCTGACGCTGAGGTACCAAGATTCCCGTAACATTGAGAACAGTTGTTTCCGAACATACTTGACTGACTTTTGTTTCCCGTAGGTCCTGGGTATTGACCTCTCTCCAACCCTTCCTGACTAGTATGCGACTCCTTTGTCCCTTTCTTAGGCGTCGCTCATAGAACTAAGGTGTTGTGCAAAAATCGGCTAACACATATTTCTTTCAGCGTGCCACCAAATGTCAGATTTGAGGTGGATGACGTCGAAGAGGAATGGACGTATTCAAGGCCTTTCAATTATATCCACAGCCGTGTTATGACAGGCAGCATCAGCGACTGGGATTTGTATCTTCGCAGGTGCTATGAGTAAGTCTATTCATCCTTCTACGTTGCGATCTGCATATGATTACCGCATAAGCTAATCCGTGTGTCAATAAAGCAACCTCGTACCTGGTGGTTGGGTCGAATTGCAGGAGATTGCTGTATACTGCGACTCTGATGACGGGACGCTGACCCCAGACCACGCGATTTCCAAATGGAGCAAGCTGCTGCAAGAGGCAACGATCAAGCTTGGGCGTCCTTACATTGATCCCGAAGGCCTCCCAGAGAAGGTGAAGGCTGCAGGATTCGTTGACGTTGCTATCACTGCATTCAAATGGCCACTCAACGACTGGGCCAAAGACCCCAAGTATAAGCAACTTGGCAGACTCCAGCTAGAAAACGGCCTAGCTGGCATCGAGGGTTTCACCATGGCAGCGTTTACCAGGGCCTTTGAGTGGACTGCTGAAGAGGTTAACGTGTTCCTCATTGACGTGCGGAAGGATGTCAACAACCGGCGAATTCACGGTTACCTTCCAACGTAGGTCACATTCATTTCTATGCTATCAGGTTCATTCTGACTCTCGATTTAGCTACTCCATCATTGGACGCAAGCCAAATAAGGAAGAAACCTCGGCTGCCCCAGCTCCTGCTTCCTCAGAGACTCCTGCTCCATCAGAAGCTCCAGCTGCAACTGAGGCTCCTGCTTCTACTTCCTCTCAGGCCCAAGCACCGAGCTCATCTTGATGACATTGTTCGGAGTCACGGTTGTCGACTGAGGTTGCGTTCGAGACGGGATCTAGCGGCTCTAGTCGCTTTAGTGTCCGTCTTACCCAGGGGTTTGCAGGGATAGATCGACTTGCAATCCACGAATCATACGGGCAAAAAACAGCGGCACCAAGCTGCAAGTTTCAATCTCTTAGCAACCATGAAGGCATGCACTAGAGATGGAGGGGCGGCTTCGGTTCTAATTCTGCATGCCTGCTTTAATGTCTTGCTGAGAGAACAATCACGGAATAACTAGACGTTATTTCGTGACTTGCTTAGACATAAATAATAAACAGCTTCCGCTCGCCGTAATTTCTCTATCCAAATGGCTTATGGCTTACGTTGCCGTTCACTTGCCGAATGGTCTTCTTCGAACGGGGCTTCCATTGTTGAAAGCCAGGCTCTATTGTTCGTGGAGCTGGCATCTTGGCAATTGCACAATGTTGACACTAGTGGTATAGATAAGGGAACGCTAGTTGATTAACAGTTTTGATGTTTGCCTCGAGCCTTTGCAGACAAGGATGGGAGCGGCCGAGGTCAGATGTGACAAGCATTACCATCCATTCAGTGGGAGACACTATTCTCCCCTTGACCGAAGTTGGACCTTCCTATTCGGTCGCATCTTCTTCAGTTCCACATTTGTTTGCAACGCGGTGGCAACGCCATCGGTGCGCATATGCATGTTTCCCCGTTGGTTCCTTTTGCGAAGAAGAGGGGTTGGCTGGGGGCATGTTCGTAAGGCCGGTTTTGTGCTTTGCACAAAAGGGATTGTAGAGCCCAGTCCTACCCCCCCATTGCTGCTGCTCTTCAGTCCTTTTTTTCTCCGAATTTTGTGACATACCTCACTTGTTGACAAACTTGACCCGGTACTGTGGTTCAGTAAGATTGACTGCAGCTTTCGACACGGCCAACATGGCTCATGACAATAACGCCGCGGTGCTTGACGTGGACGATGTAAGTGGAGCTAATCTTCCGTCATACAACCAACTTTGCTTCAGAAGTATACTGACTGTAAACATGATAGGATGATGTTCGTTCAGAAGTGGGAAGTGTAAGTCCAAGCTCGTGCTGCTAGAGGCAGCACCCCAGACTGAAGAGGAAGGTCAAAATCTCACACATCGTCTCATCTTCTAGAGCGTAGCCTCATCAAGCACCAGTCTCCGCAATTCTCTTCTTGATTACCGTCTTGAAAACGGCAGGACATATCACCGATACAAAGATGGCAGTATGTGTATTCACACTTTTGTGTTGTCTGGAAGCCCATTCTGACTCAATTTTAGAATACAATCTTCCCAATGACGAGCGAGAATTGGACAGGCTAGGTAAGCTATCTCACATGGTTCTGACCCCTACGACGACACTTCTCTGACATTGTATTCAGATTTGCAGCACCATTTGTGGCTTCTTGCGCTCGATGATAGACTTGGAGTCGCCCCGCCTTGTAGAGAAGGCACCAAAGTCGGTCGGGTACTCGATGTTGGAACTGGATCTGGCATTTGGGCCCTCAATTTTGCTGACGAGCACCCTGAAGCTGAAGTAAGTCTGCGAAGTGGGCTCATCTCGTCACGAGCCAAGAGTCGCTCCGTCTCTTGGTGTGCTCAATGATATGGCATGGACTTCATCTGACTGCGATGGTTTGTTAGGTGTACGGCATTGATCTTTCGCTGACTCTTCCTGGCTAGTGAGTCGACTTCACAAAGACGTGTGTACGAGATACAATTTCTGAAGAATTTCATCGTCACAGCGTGCCCCCAAATTGCAGATTCGAAGTCGATGATGCTGAGGAAGAGTGAACGTGGTTACGGCCATTTTCCTACATTCACAGCCGAGTTATGACTTCCAGTATCGGTGACTGGAAGTTGTATCTTCAACGTTGTTATGAGTGAGTCTTTACACCTTTGCACATCAACCATTCTGGGTTGAGGAAGAAGTACCTCAAACATGAACAACACGCTGACTCTATGGATAAAGCAATCTGGAGCCTGGTGGATGGATTGAGCTACAGGAGTTCGATCTCTATCCACGATCAGACGACGGAACTCTCACGCACGAGCACTCGCTAATTAAGTGGTGTGACCTCCTCCTTGAGGCATCGGAGAAGCTCGGTCGCCCCTATGTTGAAGTTCCGCCATTGAAGGATCTCCTCACAGAGGTAGGCTTCGTGGACGTGTCATTGGATCTATACAAGTGGCCCACCAACACTTGGCCGAAAGATGAGAAGTACAAAGAAATCGGCTCCTGGCACGGCGAGAATGTCTTTAGCGGCCTCGAGGGCTTCACGATGGCGGCTTTGACGCGTGCCCTGGATTGGTCGCGGGATGAAGTCAACGTCTTCCTCATTGATGTACGCAACAACATCAAGGATAGAACCATCCACGCATGGTGGCTGGCGTAAGTATTCCGAGGAGGGCAAATTTCAGGCCGAGGCGAACATCGGCTGACACGGTACAGATACTTCATCATCGGTCGTAAGCCAGAGAAGGTGGACAGCCCGGCTCCCCCGGCTCCCCCGTCCCCTGAAGCCGCTGCCTCCCCTGCGGCCCAGACTCCGGCACCGGCTGAGACTCCATCTTCCCCTCCGGCTGCAGCTTCGGCTCCAGCTGGGAGCACAGCTTCCGCTACGAGCCCAGCTCCGGCCCAGAGCCATACGCCGGCTGCGTCTTGATGGGAAATTGCATGCAAGTGCCAGAGGAGAGACAGATTTGGATTGAAGGATATTTCCATAGGACGCTCAATGTCAATGCCACTGACGTGAATGCATACAAGTGCAACATTACTTAGATTAGCGAGGGAAATTTGTATAAGAAGTTCATTGAGTGGAACGAGTTATCGGCAAGCTGGATGATGTCTATACCATTTCTCTCACCTAAGCTAGACATCAAAGGTTGTATAACGATACAGAGGCTCTGCTCTTAGGTGGGCTACCTCCCTAGTTGGCCTTGGCGGCGGAACAGGATACCAATGAGAATGGCTGAATTAAGAGACGCTATAGGAACATGGATCAGCTATGAGATATGACACTGATTCGAGCGATGCAACCTTCACGTTATGGAATAAAGGTCGTTCGCATGAACATGTAAGTCTTTGTAGCGAAGAAGCGGTTCGCCACGGGCGTTGCTCCAAATTGCTCATCACTAGTCGTGTGGAGGTGATTTTTGCACCTTCATTTGATTGCTTTTAGTACCGCAATCGATTTGCGTTGAGCTATTCATGGTGAGCTATCCATGACACAGAAAATTAAGCTTCTTCGAAGCTGGTCTATGATGGTAGGCTAGCGGCGATGAGATTGCCTGATCCAACCGTCCGGTTATAGTGCAGGTCCGTCCTGCCCCTGTCACATTGCGTTCGATAAGGTGAATACCAAGCGACTGTGCCTCTTCCATGTATCCACTGTATCGACGGATGACCATTTCTAGAGACGCGTATGCATGTTGGTCTGTAGGTCCGTTGGTTCTTCTGTGCCTCCGTGGCCAAGGACAGGGGCGGTCTACCCTGGGAGTGCCGAATTCCATCACAAAAACAGCTGCTGCCCCGCGCCGGTCTTGATTTCGTTGTTTCTTTTCTCATGATTTGTTTCCGAAAGCCGGGAAGTTGGTCCCATCTGCGAGAAGAAATCATGAACCGGTGTCATCACGAACTGTAACTCCGAACATGTCGCAAGACAATCAACCTGTTGAAATTGTGGTTGACCAGGAGGTAAGACGGAGCCCTCCAAAAAATCATTTGGCGCCTTACATCTAAACAGAATTCAACGCTCAACAGCCGGAGGCAAACCACGGTGACGCCGATTCAGCCTTTGGAGATGATGTAAGTTGTAGGTCCTAGACCTCGGAGGCGCCTCACATCGCTCATATCTCCTGCACAGGACGCTGCTTCCTCTAGCATCAGCCTCCGAGAGTCTATCTTCCAGTACAGGAATGAGAACGGCAGAACCTATCACCACTACAAAGATGGAGGTAGCACTAATCCATAAAATCCACCTTATTTTTGAGCCACTTCTAATGCCATACAAGCATACATCTTTCCAAACGATGACAAAGAGCTGGAGAGGCTAGGTACTTATGAGCCACTAGAAAGTTTGCTTCAAGTTGCTTTGTTAACAAACGGGGTAGATTTGACGCATTCAATGTGGCTTCTCGTCACGGACAACAAGCTCGGAGTTGCTCCACCATGTCAACCGGGGTCCACGGTGGGCAGAGTACTCGACATAGGTACCGGCACCGGTATCTGGGCTCTTGACTTCGGAGACGAACACCCCGAAGCTGAGGTGAGCAAATCTATCACATATATGCACCACTCCAAGCATGCCACCGATGCTACTGGCTGTTATGTTTGGGTATATACTTAGAGAGGTATCCGACAGGTTATCGCCGTTGATCTCTCACCGACGATGCCTACTTAGTGAGTTTCTATCTCTCTTGGATGCTCGACATTCGATAGCAAGCAGCCGCGTACAAGATAGGCTGACATTAGCTCGCAGCGTTCCACCCAACGTCAGGTTCCAAGTCACTGATGCTGAAGACCCTTGGACATACTCACGGCCTTTCCAGTATATTCACAGCAGGGTCATCACCTCAGGCATCAGCGACTGGCAAAAGTACCTGAAAAACTGTTATGAGTAAGCATACGTCTACATTATCTGATAGTTCTCAAAAACAATGATTGCGAATATCTAACCGGAGGCGACGCAAAGTTTTCTTGAGCCCGGGGGTTGGGTCGAAGTGCAAGAAATCGACCTCTACCCGGCGTCCGACGACGGAACACTGAGGCCCGATTCAGCACTACAAACGTGGGCAAACTTACTCGCAGAGGCCTCGGTGATACTAGGACGCCCGTTCCCGGACGTAGCCTCACTTAAACAGGTCATGATGGAGGCTGGGTTCGTCGACGTCCAGATGACGAGGACCAAGTGGCCGATTAACCCTTGGCCGAGGGACTACAAGTGGAAGGAAATAGGCATATGGAATAGTGAGAATCTCCGCACCGGTATCGAGGGCTTCTCCATGGCTGCGTTGACCCGTGGTCATAAGTGGTCTCGCGACCAGGTCGACCTCTTCCTCGTTCAGGTACGGAGGGATATCAAAGACCGAATGATTCACGGTTACTGGCCAATGTAAGTACGAAATCCAGAATCTAAGACATCTTCATCACGTCCTCGACTATAGCTAATGAGTACATGTTAGATACTTCATTACTGGACGCAAAGCCGGTAGAGAAGAATTCACGCTTCCGTGACCCGCTCTCTCCGAGGCTGTTTCGTGGCCTTGAGTAACGAGAGCACCTACTGGATAAGATGAAGTGTGTTTTGAGGCAATGGTTATCACTTCCAGTGATGCAGAGCATCGGTTGTGGGTGGTAGATGATTGACTACGGAGTAGCATATAGGGCGGCTGGTTCATGAAGTTGCATAGCGGATAAGTTTTAATGATTTTACGAGCCCTTGGAACAATCCAAGGTTGAGGCATCAGACAGCCCATAGGAATAATCCAGCTAGGAAGAAAAGCTACCACAGACAAAAGCCACGATTAGCTTCACTACCTCTTCCGTCATGTCAGAAAGGAGACGGAAACTCACAAGCTCAGAAACAACATTCCCTTTCGCCTCATCCTCCTGTCTTCGAAGTCCCTGCCACCGGCGCTCCGGTTTCTCGGAGGCTACCTGACCCGGCTGGCTGGCTTCCTCATCTTCGGTACGCTCCTCTTCAGCCGTTTCTACTGCGCCGTCAACTCATAGACTTTTCCCAGACTCGGAATGCTTCTCCCAACTGATTCCGAAAACGTTGAACACGTAGGCATACCTTTCTCATCGATAGATGCCCCCACGTGCTCCCAGTCCGCACCATCATTGACAGCCTGCTCTTCACGCTCCGACTTTTCCTCATCCTTCCGTGTAACCTCAGCTTGGGTGTCCTTCAACGGCATCTTTTTCCGGTTATCAGTCTTTTTAGCGCGAAACTGAATCCTACAAATGAGACAGAGAAGCTTGCGCAGAGTCGAACACAAAAACCGACTCTATGATCTCACAAGATTCGCTTTCTTCTGCGGGCGGGGGGAAGGGGGATGATAAGCCCACGACAGCTTACGCACTCGTTTCGAATGTTGAGGCGGCTGCCTTGCGCCGCGCCGCTGCGTTGAGGTCGACAACAACAGTCACATGAGAGAAAGGCGGCACCTTGCCATGTCCGTGACGCAACTGCCCAGTTCAGGCCTCGTTTACTGGTGGTGGTTTTGCTGAGCGTAAGCACATGCAGGTTGGCCCCGTTCTGTGCCCGAATCTGCGGCGCAGTTTCCCTTGACTTTACCCATTTGGGATGTCGTTCCCTGCTGGTTTTCTACTGCGTCCACTTAGTGTCGAGCGACTCTAGTGGCATTGATATACTCTCTCACCAAGGTCCATTATATCGCAATAAGAGGCTATTATGTGGTGAAGAAGATCAATAGTCCTTGGAGAAAAAGACACGTATTTAAGAACAATGTTGCAATTATGCAGTAGAAAGAAATCTGAAATAGACACATTATGTGTATCATCCAATGCTGGTATCAACCCGATATGCCATCTACTCGTATGCACAAGAAAAACAAGAAACCAACCCACCAGATGCAAACGCCTCATTATCCATGGTCCGCGGTGCTCTAATATCTGAGAAAAAGGCCCCCCCTCACTGCTCCATGACCTCCACGATCCCCTTCCAAAAGTTACACCGATCCCTCTGCCCATCATCGACGTTCTCCATCCGGTTCTTATTCAACTCAAACACGAACCGCGACTGATTCCGTCCCCAGTCACCCCAGTCCGGCGCACCCGCGAGCTTATACGTATTGGGGTTGAGATCGCGCACAAACGAGATGACGTACTTCATCATCAGCGAGACAATAGGTTTGTTATACGTCCGGAAACTGTCGGGCGTCGGACACGCGTCGATGCCAAAGATGGCGGGCGCCTCAAACACGTGCGGGACGCCGAGGCCGGAGGCTGTGTTGTCGTTGTCCTGGACGTTGAAGCGGTAGGACCAGCTCGTCCCGGAGCGGTTGGCGGCCGCGTAGGCGTTCATGATGGTGTTGGCGGGGCAAATGAAGGTCGTCTCGCCGTAGGCTTGGCTGGTGGACGGGAACCAGACGTTGTGGTTCGGGAGTGGCGGCAACAGCGGGTACTTTTGCAGCATCGGGTCGGTTTCGTTCTTTGTGAGTTTGGGGTAGTTGTCTGTCATGAAGGAGACGAATTCGTCTTGGGTTGCGACGTTGGCGGCGAAAACGGATCCCTCTAAAGGAGTATGTGAGTACCTCGGTCGTGATTGCAATTGAATGACGGGACTAACCGTTACTTCCTGTCCCAAAGAGGACGGGGACTTTGATGAATGAACCCTTGTCATAGAGCCGGTACGGATAATCTTGTAGAATATCGCCATCTATACATGGAGTCCAGTAAAAGTGCGGGTTTGCCGCCCTCCCCGGAAATGGCGATGCGATATTGGCGTCCTGGATCGCTTTGATGTCTTTACCGCGCAGACAGCCCATCTGATCCTTGTCATCTGTACAGCCTACCTTAGCCAGCGTCTGATTGAACTGGTACTCAAGCTCCGGAACACGAGGCTGCGCGGGGAAGAAGACCGACTCGGACATGGCGCCTATGAAGAGCTTGTCGTCGCGTCCGCCGTAAGCTGCGAGG